ACTTAAACCCAGACTGCTGGGACATTCGTTTATTTCCAGCACTTTGGAAGCGCTTCCGTAAAGCCTCCCCGTTTGTCACGATGCTCGCAGAGCTGCTTGGACGTGATGACACCGGCACGACAGATAAACATGTGGACAGGTCGGTCCAGAAATGGAATCTGGCGACACAGATACTATGCATCACCACGATGACGATTTTCTTTGCTCTGCGATGTTTTACCCGCCTTGTCATCATGGACGGCTTTCGAAGAGAGGATTGTAAGGGCCTAATGAACAGCTCCAGATGGCCAGTGCTAACGAACACACAGGGACCTGTCTAGGTGCTTGGGTAAGGACATTGATGCCAACCTACTGAATGAGATGCTCAACTATTTGACTGGCAGTTTCTTGGTGTGTGTTATTCGATTATTGCTTTGATCAGTAAGTATGAAAAAAGCCCTTTTCGGAGGTTTGCTGAGTGTTAGTTCAGTGGGCCATTTCGGGGGCGGGGTGCACTACGCTGATGTGCCTGTATCCCATCGCATACCCTTCGAGAAGGTAAGTTGAATGAGTCTATTACAATCTCCAATTTGCTGTGTTAACTTTCTCAGACGGTGTATGTGACAATGGTCATGTATGGTCCGACCGCATATTTAACAAAGTTGTCCCTACTTTGGATCATTGCACGAGTCTTCAGCCCTTACCGAAAAACCGTTATATTTATCTACGCCTTCCTGGGTATTATGCTCGCCTACTATATTCCAGCAGTCATTGTCAAGATCCGAATCTGCGACCCAATAGCGAAGTTCTGGGCCCCTGACACACCGGGGTCATGCCTGGACCAGACATCAATCATTCTTGCCGATGCGGTTGTCAGTGTCGTTAGCGATATGGCTATCCTCATTCTTCCCCTACCTTTGACGGTGGGGCTACAATTACCGCTGAAGAAGAAATTACGAGTCATGGTCGTATTGGGAGCTGGAGGACTAGCGTGTGCATCGAGTATTGTCCGTCTGATTCTCATTATTTTGACGGGGCAATCACAGGACGGAACACTGGCTTTCATGCGCATTAACATGTTCGGGTACGCCTGCTCCCTAAACTAGACTCATTGTATCACCCAGCTGACAATTTCCTCGTGGTCAGAAATGCCGAGATAACGATCGGGGTCATTTGTGCCTGCCTGCCTGCCCTCTCAGCTCTAATCTCCCGTACCCACCGCGAGTATACGAGCAACAAATACTCCAGTCACAAGAATACCCAGACATCACAGTACGAATTGAGCAAGGTCAAGAATAGTCGTCCCAGTCGCGCAGATAGGGGCAAAAACCAGATGACCTTGACGGAGGTTGGATCGGACCAGGACATTCTCATCCCCAACGCTCAGGAAGCGCCAAGGATCGAGACCACAGTCCGTGGCGATTCAGAGCGACAAGGCACAGAGACCATGGGGATCATGAGAACAGTGGACGTGTCAACTACTGTGACATCGCGGTACAGTTCGCACGAATGACAGGTAAAAGTCTTTTGGCGGTATGGCGGCGTTCCGGGGGATATCATTATGTGGTGCCTTAACCGGCTTACATCTCGACGAATCGACATGGTTTTTAACGTATATATATTAATATAGTGTATCATATGCCTTCCGGACCTCATATAGGCCTTGATATCGATATATGTCTGTGTATGTTTTGACGCTAGGAAGCAACATGATGACTATTGACGTGCTCGAACATTGTGACAAGCATTGCAGGGTAGTAAAACTTAAGGTGCTGATGGACCCACATGATTGCAGAAGCTTGTGTGCTTCCTTTAATCTGCTAATTAATGAACTCTGGGTCGTGAGGAACTAAGAAGTTCTCTGGTACCTGGGAGAACGAGCCATGACGTCATATTCAGATGAAGTCAATAGGGCACATTCCCGGGGTTGACCCGTCACGAGATTGTCTGCCGCGAGTTGCCGCCATTGCAAAACAAGGAACCTCTGGCTTCGCTGGTGATGCTCGCCATTCAGCTGAACTCTAGTAGGCTCTTTGTCCTACGGGGCTTTTTCCAACTCATGGACGACTATCAGACCGACCTACGTATCTTTTTGTGACATTTACCAACCACTTACTCTCAGGGAATGATCTATTAGGCCATATGTCTTATCTCGAACCTTTATTCCTACTACTTTCTAGGTTATAGCAGAGGCTCTTCCTCCGGCTTGGTTAGTGGCGTGTCGCCTTAATCGAGATATGAACGATGATAAAGATCGACCACGGAGCACGGATAGGAGGTCGCTTGGCAAGAGATTCCGAAGTCACTTCAATCCAAGGCCGGCGGAAGATGATGGGCCACAAGACTGGTGGATCGCATCTACTGCTATTCCACTGATAGCAGCTACCACGGCTCCTCTCGCCAATCTCATGTCTATTGTTGCGCTTGTGATGCCGTGGAAAAGTAAGCTACTTGGCGGGACTGCATCATCAGGCGCACCGGCGCAGGAACTCATCAGTGACCCTCGATGGTAAGTGCACATCTCCGAGATATCCACAGATAGTGCTAACCTGACCAGGTGCATAGCTCTCAATGCCACATCACTCGCGTGTGGCATTGCAGGCAACGTTTTTCTTCTGTTCAATTTTACCCGCACTATGCGATACATCATAGCTTTGCCCGCATCTATCATCCTCTGGTGCCTGGCCACATCGATTCTGATCGGTATAACCGTTGCTACAAACATCTACGATGGTCCAATACCACCCGACCAGACCTACTCTCAGGCCTACTGGAGTGCGGTCATCGCCGCAGCTCTGTATTTCTTCCTCACTGTCATCCTGATGATCAACATGCTGGGATACGTTCTGGGGCATTATCCGCAGTACTTTGCCCTTACTGACGGCCAGAGAACGTTGATATTGCAGACCACTGCATTTGTGGTGTGGCTACTAATAGGAGCTGCTATCTTCCATGCCGTCATTGACGATATATCGTTCGCGGATGCACTCTATTTCTCGGACGTCACAATCCTGACATTAGGATACGGCGATATCACTCCTCCAAGCTCGGTCGGAAAGGGCCTTGTATTCCCCTATGCAGTGATGGGCATTATCATCCTCGGTCTCGTGGTGGGAAGTATCCATGACTTCGCCCGGGAACTGCAATACGACAATGTCGTGCGAAAGCACGTTGAAAGAAAACGACAAGCGACTATCGAGCACTCCATTTCACTCGATCCAGGTGCAGAGGACCCTCATCTCAAATACAAATCCAAGAGTCCACCCAGGCTTGGTGGACGCAGAGCTATCAATGCACTCTCATTGGTAGGCCGACCGAAGCTCCTCATCATGAGGGAAGAAAAAGACCGCTTCAACGCCATGCGAGCAATTCAATACGAAACCGTTCTCTTCCGGCGGTGGTACAATCTGATCCTGAGTCTCATCATGTTTGGTATCGTCTGGACATGCGGTGCTGTGGTCTTTTGGCGTCTAGAACAAATCACATACTTCCAAGCCCTATACTTCGGCTTTTGCTCTCTCCTCACGATCGGATACGGAGACATCACACCCACCACCAACGCAGCGAGACCCTTCTTCATCGTCTGGTCCCTCCTATCCGTCCCAACAATGACAGTCCTCATATCAGAAATGAGCGACACAATCGTCGTCGCATTCAAGCACGCCACCAGCGTCTTCGCCGACTGGACCGTCCTCCCCCAGTCAGGGAAATACCGAGACTTCCTCCGTAAATTCCCAGTCCTCTACACCACTCTGCAGCATCGCGAAGAAAACCGACGAGTAAACGAAGGCTTCCACGTCGGGTTGGAGAACGAAGAGAGAGGCACGCGAGCAGAGCACCAGCACAGCCTTGACCATCCACCCACAAGATCGCTCGAAGAACTCGCCAGCGAGCCAGACACGGCTTCAGGCACGGGATCAGGATCAGCATCAACCCTTCACTTCGCACAGCAACTCGCGTACGCGATCCAGCGAACTACCCGAGACGTTGTAGAGGGGGAGCGAAAACGATATACCTACGAAGAATGGGTGGAATTCACCCGACTCATTCGCTTCACGGACCCCAGTCCAGACGATGTGGTAGTCCAAGAAGACGAATACGGGATCCTGAATTGGGACTGGATCGGTAAGACGAGTCCGATGCTAGCCACGCAGACGGAACCAGAATGGGTTCTGAATCGTCTCTGCGAGAGCTTGATTCGGTATGTTGATATCCAGGCGAGGCAGACAGGCACGACGAGAGAGGAAGACGAACCGACCTTGAAGAAGCAGAGGGAGATTAAGTTTGAGGATGATCAGTGAATATTCAATTATTCTACTTCAATTTGTGTACAAATATGTATTTTTCTTGTTTATTCTTTACAGCCATTTTTCTCAATTGAAATAAGATAAATATCTTTGGTATTAAATCATCATGATAATAGAACAGAATCCGTGACATTGAAACAAAAAGACCGCCATGATACCAATCAACCACAACCCACTACTTAGTAGTAATTACAACATGAAACAACTTAATCCCTGCACATAGTAAATCCTCGGTATCCAAACCCGCCCGGACTTCATTCCGTTCTTCCAAAGCGACATACTCAGCTCCCAACTACTATGGAAGTATTAGGTTAATCCCTTTCTCCGCACGCCACCAACCCAACCAATAACATAACGACTAAGACAGAACCCCTCTTTGATGATCCATAATTCCCCCCCTTGCACATCATACTAAGTAAGTAACCCATGGAAAGAGCCGTAGCCGATTACTTCCTTATCTCTCCAACTAAGAGAAGCGGGGTAAGCTGGCTGGCTGCCTGCATCATCTCTCTCTCAAGCTGTGACACAAAGTATTATAACTAACGTATATAAGAAAAGAGAGTTGATCGTCCATCCATCTTTACCAATCCAACTAACTACCTTTTCAAGGAATCTTTATCGTCTGCATTTCACCTCTCATTATCAAAGTTAAACTTGCCACCAGTATTTTACTACTGCTTTCATTGAAGAGTATACTATACATAACTTATCGAAATGACGAAACAACTTGCTCCCGGCGCCCGACTGGAGGGGAAGGTTGCTATTGTTACTGGTTAGTTTCGTTCCTTCAAATTCAGTTTCTTTTTTATGCCTAATCCCACTCGTACATCTTTTTTGTTCGTCTATATATTCTATCTGTTATATATTCGGGATTATATACTCCAATCTACACACCCTCCACCCCGCCCATACTAACGAGTTGAAAATGTAGGAGCCGGATCCGGTTTCGGCGCCGCCATCGCGCAACGCTTCGCTTCCGAAGGAGCCAAGGTCATCGTGGCGGATATCAGTGTCGAAGGGGGCCAGAAGACGGCCGCCGCCGATCCGGAGAATATTGTGTTCGAGCAGATGGACGTGACCAAGGCAGCGGATTGGAAGCGGATTGTGGAGAAGGCGGTGTCGTTGTTTGGAAAGTTGGATGTGTTGGTGAATAATGCGGGGACGACGTATCGGAATAAGGTATTTCATTTTTCTTCCTTTTCTTTTGTCTTGATGTGTAGTTTGAGAAGTGAGGCTTATGCATGGTTGGGTAGCCGACGCTGGAAGTCACCGAGGACGAATGGGAGCGCGTGTTCAATGTGAACGTCAAGGGGGTTTATCTGGGCAGTCAGGCATTCGTGGCTCGGGTGATTGAGCAGGGCCAGGGCGGGTCGATCATTAATATCTCGTCAACGGGAGCGTCGAGACCTCGGCCTGGGTTGGTGTGGTACAATGCGTCCAAGGGGGCGGTTTCGAATGTGAGTGGATTGATGTTATCCTTTACCCTTTCGATGTTGAGTGCATTAGATGCTGATGATATGTTTCATATTAGGCTACCAAGGGTCTGGCGGCTGAGTATGGACCGCACAATATCCGTGTCAATTCGGTCGCTCCTCTTCTCTCGGCTACGCCGTTGTTCTCCGTCTTCACGGGGATGGAAAATACGCCAGAGAACTGGGAAAAGTTCATTGGAAATGTGCCGTTGGGCCGTCTCTCGGAGGGGAGTGACATTGCGAACATTTGTCTGTATTTGGCCAGTGATGAGGGACGTTTTATCAACGGGACGGAGATGGTCATTGATGGTGGCAAGTGTATCTGAGTCGTGAGACCGGTCATTTGCGACGATGGATATGCAGAATTGCATGATGGCAACGTCCTGTATATCAATATAGTGAATGCTCTCAGCAAATCGAAACCAGCACGAAATCCTACTTTTGGGCCGCGTAGTGTAGGGAATTCGTGGTTATAGCTGTACTCACCTGATCAAGTCCAAGAAGAAGGATCGAACAGGGAGATATCTTCTTCTAGCAGGCCCATCATGTGCTGGTTTCCCGAGAACCAATTCCCCAGTTGGCTGGTCTGAGGTATCGGTCCAGAATATTGACCTTCCATCGCGCCTCGTGTATCTCCAGGCGCTGACCCAGCAGGAACAGGTGCGGATGCCCACGCGCCATCACTGTCGTCAGCCGACATAGGTGCCAACCCAAGCGCACTGAGATATACATCAAACTCCTGACCGACAGATGCCAGGTCTTGATCCTCCTTGACCTGCACTTGTTCTTTCGCCTCAATGTAAAGTCTAGCCACATTGCTGAGAACATGGCATAGCTGATACAGTTTCGAGATGGCTTCCGAAAGAAAACAGTTAGGCTGCAGAGAAGCAACAAAGTCTTCAAGTCGGGCGAGATCATCCCAGGATGACAAAGCAATCGCGTGGCAGAAGATCACTATAAATGGAACAAAAGGTGCATAGAGAATGGTCCTGGAGGGGATGTTAGAGATATAGCGGTGTGCCAAGCGTCTGCAGCTTACCAGTGGAAGTACGCGGCCTTGATATGCTCTGTCATCTCCTTCACTTCCGCCACACAGTCCTGATGTACTTCGAGAGCGGACCTAGCCGTTTCTATGCATTCGTGGATGAATGTGCCCTGTGTGCCTTGTGGAGGAATGGCGCGGTATATCAACGTTAGAACTGACAAGCGGGCAACCTTGTCTGATTTGAAGAAGATCTGATCGACATGGGATCGTTGTTTATCGAAATGAATACCCTAGACTATGTTAGAGTATTACTGGCTATGTCACCAACGGTGCATACCTCGAATGGCTCCATAACCACTTGCTGCATCTCAGAGGCCAGCTGGCGAGCATGAGCGACCCGCTCACTTTCCGGCCGCGCCAAAGCTGCAGGGCTGTAAAGTAATTCGTACACTTTTCCCTGTATAGTCGCAAATCGGACCCACAGCAAGTATATTTTGTCGAATGGTTCATCTAGCCCGGTCGTATCGATGTTTACTAGAGAGGTGACGTCGTAATCCTGTATGGTTGACGCGCGTCCCAGACGCAGGGAAACCGCCTTGTCCAAAACGTAGACCGTCCAGAATAGTGTATTTCCAAGAGAGGGCTTACTGCCGCTATCTGAAGGATTTGATCGATGGTATCCGAGTGTTTGGCATAAGCGGAAGGCCGCTGAAGTTAACGTCATTGCGAACGACGGCTTAGACATCTCGATTGCGTAGACGGCCTTGACCCTGTCAGCAGACTGTAAATTACTCCAGCGGCGACAAAGCTTACTCCTAGTACGAGTGCTTCGATATTGTCATCATTCGCAGGCATCAAAAGGCTCAAGCTCCCCAAAGCAGTTTCAAGGTTGACCAGACACAGCTTCAGGTAATTATCATACTCCTCTCTAGTCTGTGAATCCTTTGTGATAGCGACGACGTCGCTGATTAGGTAGAGAAGAGCGCCGTTAACTATAATAAAAGTAGCATCGGAGTATTCCTCCGTGGAGAAGTAAATCTGGCGGCATTTCTCAACTAGCCGTCGGGGCGACAGGAAAGGCAGGTATGCTTGCAGGATACTCGGTTGCTCTGGTAGTACGTTAGGAAGCTACAGGAAGAACATAGTACGTCTCAGGGACTACCTTGGCATTTGCGCAAAAGTGCCAGAACAACCGGCGCTGGAGGCATGGTAAGCTCTCGCAATCCCGAGCCTGGAATCGCCCTCTGATTCGGGAACCGCACTTGGCGGGAGGGAGATTGTGCCTGGTGGTCCTGCATATCAACGATCTGCTTCAAGGAGGCCAGCGCGGTGCTTATTTTGGGAGTCGACATCTGGAGTGCACTGCGGGAGACGGCCGTCTCTAGAAATTCTCTGGCGTAAGCAGAATGGGCAGCGAGAGAGGAATTGCCCTCAAAAGCAGGAGTAGACTCGTGTTGATCCAGAGTTGCAGCAGCACTAGTGTAATTGGTCGTAGTGGATGGACTCAGCTGGCTTGACAGTGGAGTAGAATGATGGCATTGTTCCGAAGGGCCCTTGGCGTGCGCTCTGAGTTCCAAAAGGGTACGCTCGATGTTGCCCAGGCGTTCTTCGATGAGGTCAATTTTCCTCTCACTACACCATGTCAATTAAGCCCGATAAGCAGCCACTCATTGCACATACTACTGGCTCGATATAAGGACACGCTTCTTTGGCTCTGGGGGCTTCTGGCCAGCACCAGTTGAGCGGCAGATGATTTGAGAACTGCGGCAATTGGAGCAGGGAGACCGCTTGTCACAGCGTATCTAATGGTGGCACCAAAATGTATAAGTGTCCTTCCTAAATGGGACAACCCACTTCATTATTGATAGATTGCAGCAGCTACATACCTTTCGGAGGCGGCATTGATCGCACTGGCATCCGTCAGCAATTGCGGACTGTAGTATGGGTATGCAGTGCCACTCGAACTTACCGCACGCCTGACAACAGGCTCCTTCTCACTCTCGGGTCCCTCGGGCTCCATGTAGTCAAGCTTTCCAAGATAACCGGTCCACGATAGCGCGGCTTATTACTTTTTCCAGCAGAGCAGTCTGCAGAGATTGTGGGTGTTGGGGACGGTGAGGGCGAGTTGGTTGCAGGAAGTGTGAGACTGGCGGATCCCGCGGAGGCCGAGAGTGTGGACCGAACTTTGTTTGCTTGCCTAATCGTCACTCTCTCTCATCCACAAAGTATCAGTGTCCTGTTGTCAGGGTTCAACCTGGTGCGCTTCAGGCAGTGGATTCTTCGATTATCCGGTAACAGACTAGTCTTATAAGCTTATAGGAAGCCAGATCCTTCCACCTGTGTAATACTCTATTTTAGGCAGCTACTTATGTTGAAATAGCTACCAAGGCTACCAATGATATAAAGTTAAGAATTATCAGAATTTAATTATAATATTATCGCTTATTATTATGTTATCATTTTCCAAATTATCACTTGGGGATTATTTTTCTTTTTCTTTTTTTTTTTTTTTTCCACCTCTTGACCACCCTCTGGATGGATTAGGTCACGTGACTTATAACCATTCTGGGCGTTGCTTTCACCATTTGCTCCCCAAGGTGAAGAATTTGTACTATTGATATTAGAGTAATTCAAGATCTACAGGTCTCTCATCATGGTTGCTCTGTCATATAACTACAATTACTTTGACAAAGCTCAAAACCTATATGAAACAGCTGAATATATATTTCTAAGTATACTATCTATCATTTGACAAACTCAAAGGGTGGCAATTAATACTTATACATACAATCCAGTGAAATTATACTCATAACAGCCAACTTTCAATCTTTGCCACAGTATCGGCAACCAATCGGTCATAATATGTGCCCAGAGGAAGAAACATGGACTGATGGGCAGCGATTTCATCCATACCCTCCATCCGTAGCGGAATCCAGAGCTGCTCTTTGCGGGCTGTTTCTGGAACATAGCAGAACAGTCGCCCCGATGGTCTGAGACGAGAACCTTCGCGCTTATTTCCGTGCTCGTCTGAATCGCATGAGCTTGATGATGATGATGACGACCGTATATCAATCCTGGTGGAAGAGAACTTCGTGTCTAGCAGTGAGTCAGACGAGCGGTTGTCTGCCACCTTTCCTTGTATATCAACTGGCATATCAGGCAGCACCAACGCAGAGACTCCGTCTTCTACGCGATACCCATGTATTTGCGACGCTCTGTGCCTCAAGGCCATCTTGTTCCCGTGATCATTACCGTTGATGGTTTCGCTGTGTGGGCAGGCAGTCGTGTAATAATTAGCAAAGCGGACCCTCCCACCAGATTCATCGTGTTTTGCCCAACGGCAGAGTCTCTTGTGTCGTCTGACAAGCCCAAAGTAGTCATTCAGACATCCGACATGATCGTAGTATGAGAAAACATACTGAAGAGCAGAACGAGATATGTGACCCGAATGTTTTGCAAGGAAATGGCGCGCTCCATCCCACCCACTCCACTGGGTCCTGTCGACATCGTTGGTCAAGTTTGGATCGAACGTCGGATCGTCGTTTGCTATTCGGCTGTTTGTGGTGCTCTGAGATTTGCGCCGGCTCTCATTCTTTGCTTTCCGGCTAAATACCCTGCCGGCTGCTGTTGCAATGACGCGCGGATGGAGTCCAAGAAAAGGCGTATCAAAGGCCACCAGGCCAACAATCCTACTGTTCGGAATGTGGCCAGCGGTTGTGTAAGATTCGGCAAGTGCAACGTCTGCAGCGATGAGGCCTCCTATACTGTGACCGAGCAGTATGACATCCAAATCTGGAGCCATGTGTGGCGATAACCTGCGAGAAAGAAAATGCTCAATATAGAGGGCTAAGTGTGTTGCAGCTTGAGGTAATTACTTACCACCGGCTGATATCGTCGCAGGCAACACGTATAGGTCCTCTGGTTTTATAGCGGGGGTATATCTTGGTGTATGTGATATGGGTTTGAGCCAATGAGACCTTAAGGAGATTGTGGACTTCCCTAGGGAAGTTACAAAAGCTCTCCTCTGAGCCTAGAAAGCCATGGATGTATATCAGGAGTAACCTGCGCTTTCCATCGTGTCTTGGTAATTCATCGGGATTATAAGAAGCGTCCCGCCATGAGTCGAGAGCAAGGTTGTCAGAGGTGTGTTCTTTCATTGTTGACCCTGAAGACTGTTCTCAGTAGAATATCCATCATGAATGAATTTGTGCTGACACAAGAAGTAGCGGCTGTGTGTAAGCAATGAGTTGCTCTGCCGTAGGTCCCAAAATGTTCAAGTGATATTCACAAGTAGCAGATCCTACATGTCCGCCTGCGGCTCTATTCTTAGAATATATCATGGGAGCGAATACGAGGTGGTAATTAGGGCCTTTTCTTCCCCTTTATTTCTCTCGCTCTTGCAGAAGAATCAGGAATAGAAATATACGCCAAGGCGTAGATCATTGACGATTGGTAGCCTCCAGACCCACTCGTATTCGTTTAGATATTTAAACGTTTTCAATCAGCCACAGGCAAATGCATTTTTCTGTGCCCTCACTGGCCACCCAGCGGTCGGATGTGTCTGGTACAGTTTTGAATGTGTTGATTTTGGTAGCCTAAAGTCCGTTATGCTTAGGATCCACAGAGTTATCTAAAGTAAATTGTCACGCTCTATGATCCATTCACTGGTTCTAGTTATTAAAGAGTTGTTAAAACGAAGAAAACGTGGTAATTAAGTCCTGCTCCCAGAAGGGATACCGATAAAACCTCTCAACCTCTGCGCCAAAGAAACCCTGGTACCGAAATATCACGTTCAAATTTCCTTGGTACTCTTCAATTTCTGCCGAAAAGTGGCTACGATATTGTCCGTCGCTGTATACTGGCCGCTCTCCAGTAACCACGTTCCCTCACTGTGGCGCTGTTGGGCGATGAGCTTTCTAATCCGCGACTGACCTGACGACCGTAAACTCTGCGCGATACCAGCAGTAGAGTATGCCATGAGGCCAAACATAGCGGAGCCGGATTTGGCTGCCATATTTGTTACCCCTTTGCCAACTCCTTTGATCGCACCTTTCGCACCCTCCTTCTGAAGACCCTGGTATGGCTTAACAACGATGTCGCTAACCGCCTCCGCCATTCCCCATGCAAATCCTTTCCCAGCAACAGCAAACCCACTCTTGATGCCAGTAACTGGACCGTGGTCTCGAGGTTCTTCACCATACAGCCGAGGGACGTTGCGCAGCCCTTCAGCCAAAGCAAGGGGAAAGTCAACAGTCGTGCCCTTAATCATGGCAGGACCAACGCTGCCCAAACTTTTGGCAGACGCAGCTGCCATCCTACCAAAAAGCTTTCTTTTGCCAGTACCCGATCGCTTTTGCGCGTCTGAATCCGCAGACACCGTAGAGTCGTGGCTACTGGAAATACTCATACCGCGTGACTCCTTCTCGTGATTGGTCGAAACAGTATGGACAGATAGACTGTCTGAAAGATTTTCGACGGAGAGGTTGGACCTGCTGCTTGAGAGTTGATCTTCGCGCTCCTCCTTGAACTTGTGATACTCCAGAGCAGGCTTGTAGAAGGCTCCTAAAATAGAGTCGGCGACATCGGTGGCTGTTCCAACCACTGCAGACGCGCCGCCCGTGACGGGATCCCATCGGCGATTTTCAATGAAGATTGGGCGGATGGCATGCCTATAAGAAACTTTTCATCAGAAGCTGAACGCAGTCAAACGGAAAGCAATATCCTCGAGGTTGTCAATCTCTTGTACGTACATCGTCAAGCTTTTTGCATCGATGGATCCGTCGGCGATTAGTACCTCTGCGGCAATCTTTGACAGCTTAAATTTCCTACGTTTTTGGCGGAGCGACCACACTGCAGGTAAACCAGGATCTAGATCACACTGGAGACACTCAAGTGGGAGGTTCCGGTGAAATGAGGCGACTGCAGCCTTTACACCTGCTTCTGACTGCATCTTGGCAGCTATAGCAACGGCTGACATGCGCGCTTGCTCGCTAAGGCAGTATCGAATCCCTTCGGCCAGCCTATCGACTGTAAGTTCTTTATGTGGAATAGGAGTAGGCCCAGCGCCCGCTGCAGCGACCATATCTCCCCAGAAGGGCTGACTATGGGGATTGTTAGCAAAAGATGAAACCGGTATATAGTCTTTCATAACTACTCACTCTCCAAAGAAGGGTACAACGATTGTGGGCTTGGATTTTCGTAACCCGCAAGCGGTCGTGCCCGCACCTCCATGATGCACAACAGCTGCCACGCGGTCAAACAGCCATTCGTGAGGGCAATCCCCGATGAAATAAATGTTGTCATCGTGCATCCCGCCTAAGTTGGACCAGCCTTTCGAAACAATCGCTCGTACGCCTGTTGCACGTACAGCGTTGAGGATAATAGCAGTGATGCTTTCTGGGTCCTCCAATACAATACTACCAAACCCAATATAAATCGGGGGTGGACCAACAGCAAGAAAGGCCAGCAAGTCAGCCGGGGGATCATATCTCGGGGGATCCCGGAAGAAGAAACCACAGACGTCTTTGGAGGGGGAGGGGGAACGCTGTTAGCATAAGACTGCATTAGATATGGCGGATATAGTGACGACTCACCGATATGAGATGGCCAATCTGACGGCCTGGGAATGAGGGCCGGGGACCAGCAGTATGTGAAAGGTATCTTCAAGATCTCTGCAAGACGAGGCCCTTCGAACATAGCTACTTCATCCAAACCAAGCTCTTTTCGCCATTGATTGATCACATCGCCCACCCTAATCGCGTCAGTATACATGAAGTAGACTCTTTGTTTTGGTGAAACTCCCTACCCTTGCCATGTCAGCCAGTTAACCACTGCGTAAGAGACAAAATTCCTGAAACCTTGATCTTCGTCGCCACTGCCAGTTACATTTGCCAGGGGGTGAGGAAAAGCTTTCGTGCTGGTCCAGGGCATAGTAAACATCAAGTGTACGGGAATACTTAAAGCCTGGGCGCAATGGATGTGAGCAAAGCTGGGAGGGTTGGCGATGATGGCATCAGCTACGAACGGCCTCTGGGTCGCCATATCAGGCTCGATACACGATCGCCAGCACCCGTCCAACATTTTCCGGATCATGGCTCGCTTGCGCCCAATTTCGCCTGCCTGTAAGCTCCGCATACTGGGGATGAGACCGGGATTCTTGACCATGTAGGCCATCAGCTCCTCCGGGTCGCCCCCGATAGGATAAAATTCCAGCCCTGAGCCCCGGACGAAATCTTCGAATACATCATGAGTAGCCAGTCTCACCCGATGTCCATATCGCTGCAGTTCGTTTCCAAGGGCAATGAATGGTTGCACATCCCCTCGACTGCCTACCACCTGGATCAGAATATTCAACTTTACCTTCCAGGAGCTTTCTAGGTATGCCGGCGGAGAGCCAAGAATGAAGTCATTGTCATTGACGGCTTGCGGTTCTATCTCGGAATACTCGGGCGGTGGTGTCGTAGGTCGTGGTGAATAATGAGATGTGTACAGCTTAGAAAATCGCCGTACCAGCGTAGTGTTGTAGTCAATATCAACGCGCCCGTCATCTGCAAATTTAATCAGCTCCGTATTCCTCAATGGCTTGGCTGGAACTCTCCGGGAACGGTTGAGGGATGCATACTGGTTATTTTGATGCCGCTTTTGCGGTCGGCAGCAATTGGCGTAGGGGGAATGATGACTGGATCACCTGGTAACTCGAATACCCCGGGATCGCTGCTGCTGGCCATGGTAGGGGCCATAACTGAATCCCCCGGCAGCTCGAATACCTCCGCATTTCTGTTGCTAGCCATGGACTGAGCTGAGACGCAGCGAATGAAGACCCAGAGTAATCCACAGAATCTCAGAGTACTCGGAGGAAAATGGTGTAAAGATTAAAGATTTACATTTTGACTCCTCTGGAAACTATGGTAAGGGGACGGCGAGAGACATGGCCCTAAACCAGAGTGCAGATCAAAGAAAGTGGCATGCCCTGGAACTTAGCAAGAACATATCCTTGGGTAAGGATGTGCCAAGTACCAACCCAGATATACGAAAACGAGCGGGGCCCCAACAGGACGATCGTATCGGAAAGCCGGGCTCATACTAGTGATGCTCACTGTAAGACTATGTAGTGTTGAGAGATCGTGTCTCGCAGTTGTATCATGGCCATTATCTCCGGTCGACTCGCGGTATGATATTAGATATATCTGTGAATTCATTTATATTGCTGGTGGGAGCTTTCTCGTTACAGCCACACCAGGTCAATTTCGACAATTTTTGCCACTATGATAAAGCTATGGACAGGCTTTAAATGTAAAAAGCGCACACAGGTGCGAATCATCAAGTTGTATTACCTGCTGAATTGATTTGCCTTCATCGGAAATTCTAGATAAAAGCTCTTATCTACTTCCAAAGAAAGTCGAAAGCAGGGCAGTCCTCCGTTCGTATTCGTATATATGGCTCCCGCGGATGGCTGGGCCGTGGAAGTTAAATGCCAAACCCCTATTGCAAAGTGAAATCTCTAAATGCTTATTGATTATAATGTTTCGATAGTCTCACGCCACCAGCTGATTCCTGCTGCTGTAAAAGCAGTTCCTCTGACCTCTCAAGGGGCAGGCGAAGAGTTGGTGGGAGGAGGGCGAACAACAGTGGTGACCAACATGGGACAAGTTCCGTTCCCTCGACGTTTCTCGATACTTCGTATTCAGAGATCATGTCCGAATTCCGGAACTACAAAACCAAACAAGCTTTGTATATTGAAGGATGCCGCCATCATGTTCTCGGGCATGCTGCCATGCACCGTGGTGTCTGCCGTCACAGGGTAGTGAAGATAGTCACTTGGATCCCAAAACTCCATAATGTCATCTTGCAAGCAGACATCATTGATACTGGTGGGGTTGTTTGTTTGAGCCAACTGCTCAGAATCCTAGCTAAGATTAAAAAAGAAACTAAAATAAAATTCCGATACTCAAGACTTACCTGGAAAGCTAATGTAGATTCAACGTTAGAGGAGCCTATTTCGCACGGTCCTGCACCTCTTTCCTCATCTTCCCTTTCCTGCACCTCTGCCTCTTCTTGTTGCTGGTGCTGTGGTTGGTTTCTGCCATAATCCCTGATATACTGTCTTGCGATGTGAGCGAATTCGGTCAGAAGCGACGCGGGCACAAAACCCCCAGACTTGTACTCCAGTAGACTAAAATGCCCAGCTGCGACATCCAACAGTGAGAGATTGTTGGGGGTTTCTGGATGCATCGGGTTGTGGATGACAAAGTCAAATAGAATGAATAATGCCCCAAGTGGTAGGGTGGCCAGAATGCTGTCTCAAAAGTTAGCCTTTCGCACAGCGACCACGTTGATATCACTTGACTCAGCCTGAAAAGAGGTGTTCTTGCTTACAAAAGCGGCGTATAGGCAGCTATGTCGATATTCTTGCTTTCCTCCACAACGGCTCTTGCTGTATCCATCAGCAGTCGCCTGGTCTTCTCCTGCGATGGAGACTGATCTTGTCGACCTATATAAACCTTAAGTCTTGCCAGGGCGATGATCAAACCATAGTACGAGAACTTGGTTTGGAGTACAACCGTCTTAAAACTCGGCTGAATGAAGGAAGATGAAGAACAGGGGGCCACGTGCGGCTTATGAGACTGAGACAGCCTACCAGGACGATAGTGCTCTGGTAGTGCGGATCGCCATCGCTCCAACCGAGCTTCAATATTCTGGATCGCCGCATAATACGACTCTGGAGGTTGGATTGCAGCACTCACTGAAAAGAGGGAAGTATATGCAAGTGAGAGAATTCGCCCGAAGCTGATGGCCGATAAGAACCAGTTATGCCCTTCAAAGACGGATTCTGGGACATCGGGGACAGGACAGCCGATGTCATGATCGGGAATCATCTAGTATGAGATCAGTCGATGCTCCCACCGCCTGTCCCTAAATGAAGCCAAGAGTTTTATATCATAACTTTTGGTCACGTACCGAGCCTTTGTGGTTCTGAAAGCACATTCCCTTCTCCATGTAGTAGATTACCCAGAAGGTCCTATGACAGGTGTCTTTGTACCGCTGGTCCCCGTTGCTCAATGCTCGATGGTATCCAAGGCTTTGAGCCATTCGGACAGCTTCCATCAGCAAGACTTCGTCGATCTGAAGACAGCAAGTAGTCATGGCGAAGATTGACTAGATAGATTAAATCAATAAATTAGTTACTCCCAGACCTTTTATATTATTTGTCCTCTTTCGGCGCGGGGTATTTCTCATCTCAGTGACATCGCCTTACCATGGCAACCAAAGCCTATTTCAATCTTATCAGTTAAGTCCACTCTATTGCCACACTATTGACGTACTTGAAGACTCATTAAGGCCTCCCTGGGAATCAATATATCCGACACGAGACCCAAAGAAACTTGGAAAAGCTTCCACGCCCTGCCATTACCTGGGTCAAAGGCCCCGCCTTCATGGTACTGGCATCCTAGAGCCAATATTGTGTGATACAGGGCCGAGAAAGCACAGCTAGATGCCAGAGTTTCAGACAGATTGGGCCCGAACACCTTATCCTCGAACTTTTGACGATCGAGGAAAGGGTAAATCGGATGCAGTTGATGGAAGTAAGCTGTGCAGTTGAGACATCAGTTTGTTAATGAAGGAAGAGAAGGCTAAACTGGGGTATACGTGGAAGGACACCAAAGAAGACCAAATGAGAAAGGGAAAACACACTATTGACGTAGAGCCTGACATTTTCCAGCGAAACGTCCTCTGTATCAGACGGCTTTCCAAAAGTGATGTGTGAAATCGAGGACGGGCCCTCGGCAAGAAGTCGCGATCGAATGACGGATTCGATGTTCTCAACCAGCTCCCTGAGTCGGTCATTGCCCAACCGGTGCGACAGAGAGTTTATTCGGTGCTCCGTGAAGAAGGCAAGGCTGGAACTAGTCACTTGAAGAAAGAGATTCAGAGAGGCCGTGAATGAAATATAGAATACAGCGGCAGCATACCATCATGATCGGACGCCTGGGAATAATAGTCAGTTCAAACTCTATAGAGATGGTACTCCGTAACTGACCCTTAGCAAAGCAAAGTTATCCCTCAGAATGCTACTGCGACCTTTATTTTCCAATATCTGGTCCAGAAACAGAGATGAAAGAGTCGGCTGAATGCAGGCTTCTTCGGCCCAGGAGTTGACGAGCGGTATGTGGTGTCGACTGGTTGTATGATACCCTTAATCTTTTAGCGCCCAGATTATGCATGTGCAAGAGACGAGAAATAGTACTGGCGAATACATACTGCTGGTCTGCGGTGCTTTTGATCTCAGCTTACGTTTGGTCTGGGTGAAATGACAGGTCTCGTTGCGTTTCTAGATCGATAACCCCTATTAGGACCATCGGACCAATAAAGATATCCACTTAAATAATCAATGAACATCTTACAATACAGTGGATGCATCTCGAGCGTTGCTGGGGATCCACTAGAATCGAAATTATTACATTCCGCTTGTTCCCCAGAGCAAGAGGGTTCGGAGGAAAACGTACTAATGCAGCGAACTTTCCGGTTCCTGCACTGGTCACAGGCTTTGCAGGTCTTCGCCTCAGTCAATCGGCCCTTCTTCTGATCGGTCGCCATTTCGGGCGATGAAGATTCCCGCAAACTGGAAGTCGCTCGGCCCTGGGTAAATTGCTCGGACATCATGCTATCGTATCTGGCATCATGATCTCGGGGTGACAAGGAGAGAAGAGGAAGGAATTCGGTACTTGCTTTCCTTAAAATAAAGTCTCGGTCTTCGGTGAGACACACTGCGCCACAACACTAGGGTTCCTGCGGAAGCTTCACTCCACCTGCCCAATGCTAATTTGATCGCCCGTGCCGTTTGCAATTCCATCTACCACCAGAACCACGGAAATCAACTCGCACATAGTTGGTCTCCCTCTGCCTTCAAGCTGAACGAGCCTGCTTTTACATTAAAAAAAAATAACAAGAATATTTATCTTCAGCTGGAATAAAAGGATGATCGGTCTCACTCGAAAATTGCTACCACTCGTCAGTTAATGAGATGTGCAGAAGCGCGCAATATTAGGATCAGCTGTTATAACCCCGTGTTAAATTCAACTCTGCACAAGCTCGACGAGGAATGTCGCAAATGCATCTAGAGTAGAACGCATAAGAACCCATACTCATACATCTAAAATTAAGTTTTGGCTGTCGCCTTGACTTTCAAGTACTCAAGGCACTGTAGGCTTGATGAGGGTAGCTAGCATACAAACACTCGTCTGCACCACCTTTCAGATAGGATAGCTGCGTGGCTCTATTCGGCTTCAATTCTCTCCTTCTGTCCACCACCACGACTTCCTTTGCTAGTCCTATCAGATCCTTCTTCATTCCAGTTTGATAGATATGTATGTTCAGGTAACTCATTTCACGGATATTAAGTAGTGGTGCAGGGGTTCCAATACCAGCTGGTAGTGGCTTGTTGGAACACATAGTCAGGAAGGAAGGTGGTTACTATGCCTAGGAGTATCAATTGCATGCTTTCTTGATTGGCTGAGTTATTAATATACATATGTTTCGATTACTGCTTACATTTGAAACAAATTAATGGCCAGTCTTTCCTAAGTTCCACCGTTGAAATGCACTTCTCAGCACAGTATGCCCAAGCACGGATGCCAATAGGGTTCTGTGTATGTTCTCCATGACAGTGATGTCAACCCTTGCTCCTTCTTGGCACGCGAACTAGCTTATATACAGCTAAAGCCGCCACGGCATTAAACACAACATAGACCAGAACAAGGGCGAAATTCCTCCAGCGATCTTCGAACCGAATATTGACTGTAGAGAGATAATCATTCGTGCTGCTCAACGGACAATACTGACAATGCTCGGTGTTATGTGGGTCGACCAAGTATCCGCCGGACAACGAGATATAAGATGCCATGTACGAGCCACATGACTGACCTTTTGGCGGGAGAAACCTAACATATTCATTGGGTGCACATTCGATCTCCGCGTTCGCTACACCGGTCGAAAGAAGACCTGAAGCGAGCCAGGTAAACGGAGAGACATAGTACATGAATATCCAGAAGCCGGGTAACGAGGACTTTTTGACGAGAATACTGTTTTCGTGGTAGTGGTGAGTTGGGTGATGTTATCACAAGGAGCAAATAATGCTCATATAGTGTCTAGAACAGGGGCAGGAGGCAAGAAATATTAAATCCACTTACCCACAGAACGTCATGCAGAGCATGTAGCATATATTCCCAACACTGCTAGCAGAATCGGCACTGTCCATCCCAGCGATAAGGGTATGCGTAAAGGTACTAGTGAACATCATGAAGGCCCAGATGAACAGGAACATTAGGCAGCCGCGCGGGGCGACTTCGTGGGTGGAGGTAGCGTTCTGATACAGTCCGATAGGATAGTACCAGCAAAAGTAGGCCACCACTGCCATCAACGTGTTCCAGAAAATCTCAATCGCGAGGTTGCTCAGCATCAAGACTGTGTCATAAGTTAGCCCAGTCGGTATGTGTGAGCCTATCCTGTTTGTATTGAATCACACTACGTGCCCTACCTTTCCAGTCATACATTTTGGAGGGCCTCTCACGCGCCTCATAAACATCTCGCTGATCGATGAACTGAGGCATAATCTGCTCGCTGAGTTGCCCGAACATGCTCAATAACATCATCACTGCGTACATCTGGTTCTGGAGCCCCTGGATGGTGTTCGGCGCATTGTAAAAGCTGAAGCCGATGAATAAACTCTGGAGATTTTCAGCCAAATTGCACAGGAAGATGGTGTATAAGACAGCTTTGCTTAGTGCAAGTACTTACCGATCCCACGGTGAGGCAGACTTTGGAATATATATACGACGGACTTCGCCAGTATTGGCCTGCGATACGTTTCTGAACGAGCCACCACTGCTGCAGAAAAGACGAAGCATAAGCCCTATTGCTTGGCTGTCTCAACGTCTGCATATGAGGTGTTACGCTCATGGTAGTCCTAGATTCTCGGAGTTTTTGCAATTTCGCTCGAACAGACTGGTGCTCAGGCGAGTCTCGCCAGACCTTCGGCCAATCGACAGTGGTATCTGATCCCGGTGCGGCCCCAATCACTTCCAACATCCATTCAGCTGGATTGGCGCCTGGAGGACACTGTGTTCCTCCGTTGGTCTCCAAGTATCGGATGAGGGTAGCCGAATTCTGCCCAATTTCTGCCACGAATAATGATTTTCACCGTTAGCACATGCTTGTCTGTAGGCGCGGAGGGACGAACCTCCAAAGTACACAGTTTTGCCGCCTTTTGCTAGAAGCAGCAGATTGTCAAACTGCTGGAACAAGATAGCTGACGGCTGGTGAATGGTGCACAGGATAGCCTGGCCACTATGTGCAAGTCGTTTCAGGAGCTGGCAAATAGTCCACGATGTCTGTGAGTCCAGTCCAGAGGTCGGTTCATCCAAGAAAAGAAGCAATTCAGGCTTTGCAGCCAATTCAATACCAATGGTAAGACGTCTGCGCTGTTCGATGTTCAGCCCTTCACCGGGGATACCAACAATGGCATCCGCATACTCTTCCATCTCAAGGAGCCTGATCACTTCCTCCACATGGGCGAGCTTCTCCTCCCGTGGCACGTCAGAAGGCTGCCGGAGGAGTGCACTAAATTCAAGTGACTCTCGCACACTGCATGTTGAGAGATGTACATCTTGCTGCTGCACATAGCCTGTTTTGCGCTGGAAGGAAGTATCACTTTGCGCACCGTTTACGAGCATGTCGCCCGTAACGACCCCAGTAGTAACCCGTTTGGCAAGGACGTTAAGTAGGGTCGTTTTTCCGGCACCAGAAACACCCTAGGATTGATCTTGTGTTAGGGTTTTCCAGGCACTGGTATTATTAGTGAGATAAATTTACATACCATCAAGGCAGTCAAAGTTCCAGGTTGAACCCATCCGTCGACATGGTCCAGGATCCGCCGAACCTCTTTTTTATTCTTGATATCATAGCATACGTCTTGCCAGTGGAAAATGTGGCTTTTAGCAGGCAGAGTCTCCGTGCTTTGGATGCCGTCTAACTGCACCATCTTGATCCCGGGTGGCCGGAGCGCTTCTTCGTCACCACCCGCCATGCGCCACGTAGACTTCTTCTTGACAAGATGGCTACGGCGAAAGATGAGTACTTCACCCCTACTCTTAGCCATACTGAGCACCTCAGTCGCCACCAGGTATGCGGCTGTGAAGATGAACCAAAATGCAATCAAAACCCCCACGTTCCTGTAAGACGTCAGCCACATTCTCCTATTTAAGCGATCTAGCTTCCGGGTGATAATTGGAGCAGCTTACCTCCACTTGTTGGATTGGTTGTAATCGAATTTGTCATTAATATATAAGTCTCCCTGAATTGTAGTTGAGCCGATCGTGTTTCCAACCTCTGCACAAGCTTGGTTGTTGACACCGGCAGCATGGTAGTCTGGCCCTGAGGGGACAACGGTTGAGCAGGAGAATTCACGGTTGTGGAATTCATTAACCATCAAAGATTCGAAGGCGTAACTGAGCGGATTAACATAAGCCATCCACCGTGACCATCCGGGCATATACATGGTTGGCATTGTGAAGCCAGTGTACATGATCAGACCTAAAACTAGTAAAGCAGCGGGCACCATTGCCTGCGACATGGTACGCGAGACTGATGCAATCGTCCGAAATAAGCCGGATGTCACCATCGTGCTGAGAAAAGCAACGAAGAGGAAAAAGAACACAGCCCCGGCATCTCGTCGCAAGTTGGCCATAAGATATAATGTTAGATTGAAGACCAACGTGTTGAGCACTTTATACGGAATGTCAGTGAGCATGCTGGCCACAGCCTCTGCAGATGGGTGGTAGAGAGCAAATTGCTTGTGTTTCTCCACCACCGGCCGTTGCTCGTACAGCGTCAAAATCTGAGCATGGTTAGTGTCGGGCGTTCATGGAGTAGGCCAATCTTTCAACAAATATTCACCTCTAAGACGCTAGCAAATGCACTCAGAAGCAGTGCAAAGAAAATCAATCCTCCTCTGCCATAAAAGCTATTCGTGTCGTCTTTCATATTGAAGAAGACGCTTCCCAAGACCAGAGCCATGACGGTATTCCCCCCAAGCTGGATATACGTCAAGGAGGGATCGGCAAGCAGACGCTTCCAGCCACGCCAAAGGCATAATGTTGTCTGTTGCATATACGACAATGTATATGGAGATTTAATTCTCTGGCTGCTCGCCTGTTGGGCCTTACGGGAGGCCACGAACTCATCCCTACTATCGCCCCCGAGACTGAATTTCTTCTCGTATACCTCAACACGACTCATCAGCTGCTGGCGCTGCTGACTTTCCTTCCATATTCTCTCAAAGTCCGTTGCTGTGACAGGTACTTTGTATGCGAACCCTGGTCGCACACGGCGTTCCTTGGGACTGGTCATTGAGGTGAGAAAATCCGGTGTGGTCTGTTGTTCGGGGCCTACACATTCTTCCCGTTAGAAACAACAAATAGGACCGCCGTGGGACCTTACACTCAAAACCCAACTCTTCAAAATACGCGCGTGCTTCAGATGTCGGTCCGAAATATATCTGCCGCCCTTCATATAGGAGCATGACATTGTTGAAAAGCTTG